ATATACTTCAGCATATGCTTTATCCTGTTTAACTTTTTATGTGTACTTGTAAAGGATATGTATTCTATAGTTATTGAGTGCAGGTTTCCATACATCTCAATAAGGTGTGATGGTTGACAGTGTACTTCAAATTACTATATTCTTACAAATTTTGCCTAATTGTCAGGGTCTTAAAAACCTCTAAGATTATAATTTTGTCTTCCTTTAGTTCTTTCAGTTTTTGCTTCATGGATTTTGAATCTGTTGTTAGATGGATTCAAATGTATAATGTCTTTCTGTTGTATTTACCCTACTTGTATATGTTTTCATTATAAAATTTTACTCTATTTCTGGCCCTATCTTGAAGTCCATTTTGTCTGATATTAATGTTGCCATTTCAGCTGGCTTATAATTAGAGCTTACATAATACACATCTTTACATTCTTTTACATTTAACGTTGTGGTGTGTGTGTGTGTGTATGTTTGCTTTAGGGATTATAATATAGATCTTAAAAGATGTGTGTGTGTGTGTGTGTGTGTGTGTGTGTGTGTGTTTATTGATTTCAGAGAGAAAGGGAGAGGGAGAGGGAGAGCTAGAAACAGCAATGATGAGAGAGAATCATCAATCAGCTGCCTCCTGTATGTCCCCTACTGGGGATCAAGCCCAAAACCCAGGCATGTTGAACCGTGACCTCCTGGTTCAAGGGTCAACATTCAACCACTGAGCCACACCAGCCAGGCCACATCTTTTCCTCATTATAATTATTAAATATTGATTTTGCCTTATTATAATGACTATTATGTATAATAGTATCATAGTACATCCAATATGATGTTGAATAAGAATAGTGAGAATAGACGTACTTGATCTTAAGGGGAAAGCATTTAGTCTTCCACTATTAAGAATATTAGGCTGGAGGAGAAACCAAGATGGGTAAACACCTGAAATTGCTGCCTTGCACAACCACTTCAAAAATACAACTAAAAAACAAAACAGACATCGTCCAGAACCACAAGAAGGCTGGCTGAGTGGAAATTCTACAACTAGAAGGAAAGAGAAAAGCACACCGAGACTCAGAGGAGGCGCAGAAGTAAAGTGCGGAGCTGGGCCTCATCTGGGCACCTCCAAACCCCAAAGAAGAGGAATCTGCAGATCTCTCCGTAGCTCCTTCTGGGTAGCCTCAGGCAGAGGCTAAATTAGCACCTCCTTAGAGATCCAAGTGCCAGTGTACCCAGTGGTCAGAGTGGGACCATCCAGAGTACAACTCCTCAGATCCATTAGGGACACACTCAGGGGGCAGACTCAGTGAGCACCAAAGCCCCACTGAAGCAAGTCTTGCCCTATAAAGGTGTCTCCAGCACAGAAGTTCTCCCACTGCAGACACAGCTGATTCTCACGGCCAATTGGCCTGGAGGTCAATTCCTCCCAGTGATACCAACAGCAATCAAGGCTTAACTACAACAAGACTGTGCACAAAGCCCACAAAGGGTTGCACCAAGAGTGTCCACCTCAGGTAATTGGGGAGGCTGAGCCACTGGGCCCTATAGGACAACTAGCACACAAAGCCCCTCTATCAACAAAGGGAAGCAGCCAAAATGCGGAGCCAAAGAAACAGGTCACAAATGACAGAAATGGAGGAAAGCAAACTACTGGATATAGAGTTCAAAACCATGGTTATAAGGTTTTTCAAGAATTTTCTAGAAACCACCAATAAATTTAGTGAGACCCTTGATAAATCTAGTGAGACCTGGAGGATATAAAAACAGACCAAATACAAATTAAGCATACACTGACTGAAATAAAGAATTTTATACAGAGATCCAACAGCAGACTAGAGGATCCCAAGAATTAAGTCAAAGATTTGAAATACGAAGAAGCAAAAAACACCCAACTGGAAAAACAAAAAGGAAAAAGAATCCAAAAATATGAAGATAGTGCAAGGAGCCTCTGGGACAACTTCAAGCGTACCAACATCCGAATTATGGGGGTGCCAGAAGATGAGAGAGAGCAAGATATTGAAAACCTATTTGAAGAAATAATGACAGAAAACTTCCCCTACCTGGTGAAAGAAATAGACTTCCAAGTCCAGGAAGTGCAGAGAACCCCCAACAAAAGGAATCCAAAGAGGACCACACCAAGACACATCATAATTAAAATGCCAAGGGCTAAAGACAAAGAGAGAATCTTAAAAGCAACAAGAGAAAAACAGTTAGTTACCTACAACGGAGTACCCATACGACTGTCAGCTGATTTCTCAACAGAAACTATGCAGGCCAGAAGGGAGTGGCAAGAAATATTCAAAGTGATGAATAGCAAGAACCTACAACCAAGATTACTTTACCCAGCAAAGCTATCATTCAGAATTGAAGGTCAGATAAAGAGCTTCACAGATAAGGAAAAGCTAAAGGAGTTCATCACCACCAAACCAGTATTATATGAAATGCTGAAAGGTATCCTTTAAGAAGAGGAAGAAGAAGTAAAAGGTAAAGATAGAAATTATGAACAACAAATACATATCTATCAACAAGTGAATCTAAAAATCAAGTGAATAAAAAATCTAATGAACAGAATAAACTGCTGAATAGAATCAGAGGCATAGAAAGGCAGTGGACTGACAATTCTCCGGGGGAATGGGTGTGGGGGTGCGGGAAGATACTGGAAAAAATCTTACACCTATGTATGAGGACAGTGGGGGGCGGTAAGGGCAGAGGGTGGGCTGGGAACTGGGTGGAGGAAGCTATGGGGGAAAAAGGAGCAACTGTAATAATCTGAACAATAAAAATTTAGTTTAAAAAAAGAATATTAAGCTGGGCTAGAGAGAGAGAGAGAGAGAAACAAAGAGAAACATTGATTTTTGTTTTTCCACTTACACATTCATTGGTTGATTTTATTTATTTTATTTTATTTTATTGATTTTTTACAGAGAGGAAGGGAGAGGGATAGAGAGTCAGAAACATCGATGAGAGAGAAACATCGATCAGCTGCCTCCTGCACACCCCCCACTGGGGATGTGCCCGCAACCAAGGTACATGCCCTTGACTGGAATCGAACCTGGGACCCCTGAGTCCGTAGGCCGACGCTCTATCCACTGAACCAAACCAGTCAGGGCATGATTTTTTTTTTTTAAATATGGTTTTATTGATTTCAGAGAAGGAAGGTAGAGGGAGCGAGATATGGAAACATCAGTGATGACAGAGAATCATCGACCGGCTGCCTCTCGCACGCCCCCCACTGGGGATCGAGCCTGCAACCCCGGCATGTGCCCTTGACCAGAATCGAACCTGGGACCTTTCAGCCCGCAGGCTGACGCTCTATCCACGGAGCCAAACCGGCGAGGGCTCTTGGGTTGATTCGCCAGGGGTGGAACCTACAATCTTTGAGCATCAGTAAAATGCTCCAACTGACTGAGCTACTCGGCCAGGGCACCATCTGTATATTTTCTTCAGTGAAATGACTATTAATGTTTTTGGCCTTTTTAAATTTTTTAAATTAATTTTTAGAGAGAGAAAAACATCAGTGTGAGAGAGTGAAACATCAATTGGATGACTCCAGCACTCCCCCTACAGGGGATGAAGCCTGCAACCTAGACCCAGGCATGTGCCCTGATTAGGAATCCAACTGGCAATCTTTTAGTGCCAGGACTATGCCCAACCAACTGAGCCATACCAGCCAGGGCAGTTTTTGGTCATTTAAAAAATTGGGTTGATTGTTTTCTTTTTCTTTTTTAACATTTTTATTGAATTTATCAGGGTGACATTGGTTAATATAGTTATATAGGTTTCAGCCCAGTCAGCTTGGCTCAGTGGTTAAGCATCGACTTATGAACCAAGAGGTCACAGTTTGATTCCTGGTCAGGGCACATGCCTGGGTTGTGTGCTAGGTCCCCAGTTGGGGATGTGCAGGAGGCAGCTAATAAATGATTTTCTCTCATCATTGATGTTTCTATCTCTCTCTTCCTCTCTGGAATCAATAAGAATGTATTCTTTAAAATTATATAGGTTTCAGATGTACAATTCTATAATACATAATCTGTATATTGTGTTATGTGTTTGCCACCCCAAGTCAAGTCTCCTTCCATCACCATTTATCCTCCTCATACCCTCTTCTACCCTTCCTTCCCACCTTAGATTGTTTGTTTTCATAATTGGTTCGTTTTAAGAGTTCTTTGTATATTTTGGATAATAGTCCCTTTTCAGATGTGTCTTTTGCAAATATTTTCTCCTATTGTGGCTTAACTTTTTATTCTCTTGATGTTATCTTTCACTGAGCAGAGTTTTTAATTTTAATAAAGTTGAATTTATCAATTATTTCATTCATGGGCCATGCCTTTAGTGCTACATCTAAAAGGTCATTGCCATAACCAAGGTCATCTAGGTTCACTCCTATTGTATCTTTTAAGGGTTTTATTGTTTTGCATTTTATATTTAGGTCTACAGTCCATTTTGAGTTAATTTTATGAAGAATGTTAGGTGTGTGTCTAGATTCATTTTTTCCCATATGGATATCCAGTTCTAAAACCATTTGTTGAAAAGATTATCTGCTCCATTGTGTTGCCTTTTCCCCCCTTTGTCAAAGCTCAGTTGACTGTATTTATGTGGTTCTATTTCTGGTCTCTCTCTTCTGTTCTATTGCTCTGTCTCTGCTTTTGCCAGTACCACACTGTCTTGATTACTGTAGCTTTATAGTAAGTCATGAAGTTAGGTAGTGTCAGTCCTCTAACTTTGTTCTTCTTTAATACTGTGTTGGCTATTCTAAGTCTTTTATCTATTTATGTAAATTTTAGAATCATTTGATTTATATCCACAATATAACCTGCTGAGATTTTGATTGGTATTACACTGAATATATGCATCAGGTTGAGCCTATGCATAAATATGAAATATCTCTCTGTCTATTTATTCTTTATTTTTATTCTGGGTATTACACTTGAAATTTAGTCTATTAATTTTACATTATGACCTCAATTGACTAATCTGTACAACATCTTTTAAAAAACTTTAAACCTATTCCATTTTTTCAGGTCATAAATAAGGTCCATCTTAAAGCAAATCATGTTGTAAAGAGAGATGTTGATGAACATTTAAGAATCAAGACTGTCTATGATAAAAGTATTGAAGAGTAAGTATATCATTATTTTGTGATCATTTTATTAAGAATCAAACTTTAAAAAAATTTTTTTTTATTGATCTCAGAGAGGAAGAGAGAGATAGAAACATCAATGATGAGAATCATTGATTGGCTGCCTCCTGCACATGCCCTACTGGGCATCAAGCCCGCAACCCAGGCATATGCCCTTGACAGGAATCAAACCAGGGACCCTTCAGTCCACAGGCCAACACTCTGTCCACTGCACCAAACCAGCCAGCTAGGGTAAGAATCAAACTTTTAAAGATATTTTTATCTGTTATCTGAAGTTCCATAGGTTGAACTCAGAGCCAATGCATCTTCAAGATGGACTAATTTGGGAAGATGATAGCCATGGGATATGATCAAAATCTATACATCATGTCCAGCTGGTGTGGTTCAGTGGTTGAGCATCAACCCGTGCACCAAGAGGTCACGGCTCTATTCCCAGTCAGGGCACATGCCCAGGTTGAGGGCTCCATCCCCAGTAGGGGGTGTGTAGGATGATGTTTCTCTCTTATCTGTGTTTCTAACTCTCCCTTTCTCTCTCTCTAAAAATCAGTACAAACCTATTTTTAAAAAATCTATACGCCATGCATAATTTGAACAAAACAAATGTGAATCTATTCGGATGTGGTCAATAACAGACCCAGAAGGCACCTCCTCAATAAGTACTTGGAAGAAAAATAAAAGGAAGTAATTTTATACACACACACGCACACACGCACACACACTAATAAGGACATTTACAAAATTATTCACCAGAGAAGTGGTATAGTCTAAATTTTTTATTTAGTGTAAGAGTAGTCCAGAAAACAAATTATGAATCTATAGTAGGTTTTTAAAAAAGATTTTTTATTGATTTTTAGAGAGAAAGAAAAGGAGAAGGGGATGAGAGAGAAACATTGATGGGCTGCCTCCTGCACGCCCCCCATTAGGGATCGAGCCCACAACCCAAATATGTGCCCTGACTGGGAATTGAACCAGCAACCTTTCTGTAAAGGGGATGATGCCCAACCAACAGCCACATTGTCTAGGACAATCTATAGTATTTTATAAAAATCTATTAAAAGTAGTTGATGTCCTTTCCTATCTTTAACTTTCAAAATGAATGAAATAGCATATGATCATGCCTAGCACTGTGCTTTGGCACAGAGTGAACTCTCAAATACTTACTGAGATAAATTGAAATTTTGGGGGCTTGATACTGCATGCTTCCACAAAGCATTCTTTGGGGCTCCTACCAGATGTATTCTGAACAATTGAGAAAGTGCTCTGCCCAGGATGGCAATTCTTATGTTTCATGTTGTCATTTCTTTCAGGTTGCTCCATGAAAAAAGATCCCTTGTTAAGGTAGGTAATAAATACTCAGGGTTTGAATTGGATACTTAAAATGGGTATATTTTGTTTTATGTAAATTCTACTTCGGTAAAGAAAACTATATACATGACTTTTGTGAATGACTGAATACAAGATGTTGGTAGTGAATTGATAAATGTATTTATCATTTTCACCAAAGATGTCTTTGTTATGCACTCACCAAGACTTTGTCTGTATTTGATATTAAATTAGTCTTCTCATTTTCTTAATTGTTCTCTTAAGTTTTGGGGGAGCAGAACATATTGAGGATAGTGTACAAAAAGCTGATTTTTTGGAAATGCTTTGAAAATACATTATGGAAATGCTTTTTCTCTTGAAGATTAATTAACCAGAAAGTAAGATATGCCAAAGTTGTTTATAGAAGTGCTAACCTCGTTAGTTTTTTAACTGTTACAGAGAGTGACACACACACGTTAAGCCAGTTCATTCAAAGAAATAATCGCAGTTAAAGTAAATTTTCTAAACATAAGATTTTCTTAACCTAAACTACCATGATGTTGGAACCAACTAACTCAGTCCCAAATTTGAATTAATTTAGATTAATAGTTCAGATTTATGTTTTCTAATATTCTATTTACATAGAAGTAGGGAAGGAAGTTTCCAGCTAGTGTTCTTTCCCCAAACTCATCTAGAAAATGCGGAAATTCCTCTGCTCCTAGACATATTTACTCTTTCCCCTACTCCTTGTCATACAACCTGTAACTAATTAATATCTGTATTCTGAAATTGTAAGGCCTTTTCCTTTTTTTACCCTCAGGCATTAAATCCTATGTGTACTTGTTTTAAATGTAATTTATACTTTGATTATAATTCTGACTAGTTTTATTTGTTTAACTTTTATTTAGAACAAACTTTTTCCACAAGCTATTTCTTATTTAGAGAAGACTTTTCAGGTTCGTAGACCTGCGGGCACTATCTTACTTAGCAGGTATGTCACATTAAATACAGATCATTTTCTTGTCATTTAGTACTCTGCCCTCCCCATTCTACCTGTATGGCAAATTATGAAATTTATACCAGAATATTTTATTATGATTTTTTAAAATATATTTTATTGATTTTTTACAGAGAGGAAGGGAAAGAGATAGTTAGAAACATCGATGAGAGAGAAACATCGATCAGCTGCCTCCTGCACACCTCCTACTGGGGATGTGCCTGCAACCCAGGTACATGCCCTTGACCGGAATTGAACCTGGGACCTTTCAGTCTGCAGGCTGACGCTCTATCCACTGAACCAAACCGGTTTCGGCTATTATGATTTTTTAGAGACCAAAATACAAGCTATTTTAAAAATAATATAAAAGCATCTATTGGATAATTATTCTTTTCCTGATTTTCTATTATATGGTGACTTACTAGATTTTTTTCCTAGGGCAGTGATGGCGAACCTATGACACCTCTAACACGCGAACTCATTTTTTTGGTTGATTTTCTTTGTTAAATGGCATTTAAATATATAAAATAAATATCAAAAATATAAATCTTTGTTTTACTATGGTTGCAAATATCAAAAAATTCCTATATGTGACACGGCACCAGAGTTAAGTTAGGATTTTTCAAAATGCTGACACGCCGAGCTCAACAGGTTTGCCATCACTGTCCTAGGGTATAATTGTCCCTGCTTGCTACATCCCCTTTCTCCCTCCTTCTTTATCTACAGTATTGGTTTTATGAAATATTTGGGTATTTGAAAACTCATATCAGGAGGATTTCCCATGGAACCAAAATTTTTCCTTAGTCCACTTTTCTAACTAAAATAGTAACTATTAATGAGCTAATATAGCAGTTACTAGTTTTTTATGATGTCTTTGACTACTGTGAACTATTCTCTCCCCCCCCCCCCCCGCTTTTTTTTTCTTTTTGGCAATTAAACTTTGATGTACAAATGAACTGAAGACAATGTGCAACAAACCAATACCTACGGAAGGAAAATGATCCCCACAGATACTGTACTGGAGAATGTGCAGAACATACAAAATGTGGCCCCATTATAGTGCCTGAAGAGCACCTCCAGGTAATTCAGCCTGCTCTTAGCAATGTTTTTTGTTTTGTTTTGTTTTTTGCCATAAATGTTCCTTAAGGGTTTTTCTTTTTCTTTTTTTAAAAAATATATTTTATTGATGTTTTTACAGAGAGGAAGGGAGAGGGATAGAGAGTTAGAAACATCGATCAGCTGCCTCCTGCACACTCCCTACTGAGGATGTGCCCGCAACCCAGGTACATGCCCTTGACCAGAATCGAACCCGGGACCCTTCAGTCCGCAGGCCGACGCTCTATCCACTGAACCAAACCGGTCAGGGCTAGGGTTTTTCTTAAGCAATGTTTTTATTCTTTAGAATAACTTTAGGGGAATTTTGAATCTGTGTTACCAAGAAGTGTTTTTCTTTAATATACATTTTTATTGATTTCAGAGAGGAATGGAGAGGGAGAGAGAGTGATAGAAACATCAGTGATGAGAGAGAATCATTGATCCGCTGCCTCCTGCATATCCCCCACTGTGGATCAAGCCTGCAACCCCAGCATGTGCCCTGATTGGGAATCAAACTGATCTCCTGGTTCATAGATCGACACCTAACCACTAAGCCATAAGGCCGGGCTACCTTATATACTTTTGTATTTGAATTTTTTAAAAGATACATGAATTACTTATAGTAGGAAATGTATTTATCTTTTAAATTTTTAAAAATAATTTTGAAATAAAATAATCATAGATTTATAGGAAGCTGCAAAAAAAATGTATAAGGAGGTCCCTTTTAAATTTCTTTTTTGCATCCTGGTTGGCTGCCGCTTAGAAATAGCAGTTACTTGTTTGAGGTAAAATTATAGATTTATGATTATTTTACATAAAGTAGAAATTTTAGTAAAATGGATTCAGAGTTACTAGTAGAGACAAGGAGTTGAGGGAGGTATGGCTTTTGATAAATTTGAGGGATAAATAAAAATTAAATTATATATATTCAGAGTCTGGATTCACTATAAATTAAAAGTCTCCACAGCTAACCTTGTCTTTGGTCTGATTTTCTGTTGCCCCGTCCCCCCTCCCCCACATGGGCGCAGCAATGCAGGGTCTGCCGTGGGGGTAAGTGGCCCTGTGGAGCGGTGGGTGTGCCAGACCAAGAGGGGGTCCGAGATGCTGACTTTGTTCTTTATGTTGGTGCTCTGGCCACCGAGAGGTGCAGCCATGAAAACATCATTTCTTATGCAGCCTATTGTCAGCAGGAAGCAAAAATGGACAGGTAAGCTTTCCCCTAAGACTTATTTCTCAACATCTAATATGGGAACGTTTAAAACAAACTATATTATGTGTTTAGAGTACAGGAAGTTTGCACTTGCCAGATTGCCTTTAGAAGTAAGAAATAGCACACTGCCTGAATGGGGGGCCAGAGAGTGGAGGAATCAGGTTACATTTAAGGAAAATGAAATTTTCTGAATCACTGGTATGTGCTTCAGAATTATTCTGTCAGTCAGTACTGAAGTTGGTAAGGAGTTCAAAATCAGCATCATGGATTATGAAAAGCAGTCTGTTACCATGATACTATGTAATTATTGATCCATGAAATTGACTCAAAAATTTTTAGCTTCTGAATGTTCAAAAAGCTTATAATTAAATATTGAGTTTTATGTACTAATGAAGAAGAAAGTGCTGTATTGTTTTGCAGATACATATGTCAGCTTGTTTAGTAAAAAGAATATATATTTAATAGAGTTGTTTTTTCCCCCCTGAGATATTAGTTAAGTACTAGGGGCCCAGTGCACGAATTTTGTGCACTGGGCCTGGCTGGCAATCAGAGCCAATCGGGCCTTCCTTCCCCTGGCTGCCGGCTGCCGGCCGCCGGCCGGGGCCTTCCTTCATTCTACGTCGCCCCCTGGTGTTCAGCACATGTCATAATGAGCGGTCGAACTCCCAGTCGGTCGAACTCCTGAGGGGACAATCTGCATATTAGCCTTTTATTATATAGTATACTTACAAATAAGCTTAGGTTAGGAAGAAGCCATGTGTACCTATTGCTGTTAGAAGCCACTGTAGTGGACACTGTGTAAGGATGAGAGCTTCATGAAATGGATTGAAGAGAAAGACAGGGCTGTTTTAATCTAATGTTATAGAAGTCCCTGATGGGTTTTAGGCCTGACAGTGACATCCATTTTGTATTTTAGAGATTGCTAGCAATGTTTTGGTAAGTGAATTATATATATACTGTTTCTAAGTGTAAGTCTGTTGTTTTCAAATATGAAGAAACTATACTATGTTTTTTATTTTATTTTTTTATAAATATTTATTGTTCAGATTATTACAGTTGTTCCTCTTTTTCCCCCCATAGCTCCCTCCACCCGGTTCCCATCCCACCCCCTGCCCTTACCCCCCATCCTCGTCCATAGGTGTACAATTTTTGTCCAGTCTCTTCCCGCACCCCCCACACCCATTCCCCCCGAGAATTGTCAGTCCACTCCCTTTCTATGCCCCTGATTCGATTCTATTCACCAGTTTATTCTGTTCATCAGATTTTTTATTCACTTGATTTCTAGATTCACTTGTTGATAGATATGTATTTGTCACTTTGTTCATAATTTGTATCTTTGCCTTTTTCTTCTTCTTCCTCTTCTTAGAGAATACCCTTCAGCATTTCATATAATACTGGTTTGGTGGTGATGACCTCCTTTAGCTTTTCCTTATCTGTGAAGCTCTTTATCTGACCTTCAATTCTAAATGGTAACTTTGCTGGGTAGAGTAATCTTGGTTGTAGGTTCTTGGTATTCATCACTTTGAATATTTCTTGCCACTCCCTTCTGGCCTGTATAGTTTCTGTTGAGAAATCAGCTGACAGTTGTATGGGTACTCCTAGGTAACTAACTGTTTTTCTCTTGTTGCTTGTAAGATTCTCTCTTTGTCTTTAGCCCTTGGTTTTTTAATTATGATGTATCTTGGTGTGGCCCTCTTTGGATTCCTTTTGTTGGGGGATCTATGCACTTCCTGGACTTGTAAGTCTATTTCTTTCACCAGGTAGGGGAAGTTTTCTGTCATTATTTCTTCAAATAGGTTTTCAATATCTTGTTCTCTCACTTCTTCTGGCACCCCTATAATTCGGATGTTGGTACGCTTGAAGTTGTTCCAGAGGCTCCTTGCACTATCTTCATATTTTTATATTCTTTTTTCCTTTTGCTTTTCCGGTTGGGTGTTTTTTGTTTCTTCGTATTTCAAATCTTTGATTTGATTCCTGGGATCCTCTAGTCTGCTGTTGGATCTCTTTATTCTTTATTTTAGTCAGTGTATGCTTAATTTCTAATTGGTCCTTTTTCATATCCTTGAGGGTCTCACTATATTTCTCAGAGGTTTCTAGAAAATTCTTGAAAAACCTTATAACCATGGTTTTGAACTCTATATCCAGTAGTTTTCTTTCCTCTATTTCTTTCATTTGTGACCCATTTCTTTGTCTCCACATTTTGGCAGCTTCCCTGTGTTGATAGAGTGCCTTTCTGTGCTAAGTGTCCTACAGGGTCCAGTGGCTCAGCCTCCCTAATTACCTGAGGTGGACACACTTGGTGCACCCCTTTGTGGGCTGTTTGCACGGTCTTGTAGTTAAGCCTTGATTGCTGTTGGTATCACTGGGAGGAATTGACCTTCAGGCCAATTGGCTGTGAGGACCAGTTGTGTCTACAATGGGAGAACTTCTGTGCTGGAGACACCCTTATGGGGCAGGATTGCTTCAGTGGGGCTTTGGTGCTCACTGAGTCTGCCCAGGTTCTTAGGCAGAGAAAGGCTAGGCCATTCATATGCAAAAGTCTCTGCGCACAGCTTGGGTGGGGTTGTAAATTGGGTAGGGCGGGGTCTCAGGGAATCACCAGTGTGGAGCAAACCGCAATGGCTGCCAGTCTGCTCTGCCTCAGAGAGGTCCCGGGATCTGTGTCCCGCGGCCCCTTGCAGGAACAATGACCGCTGCAAGCACCTCTGCGAGAAAACCGCCCTCACGTTCCGGCCAGATGCCAGACAGTCCAGTTTCTCTCCGTATGAGTCTGGGTCCCCAAATTCTCACCCAGAACTGGAGTTCAGAGCAGTAGGGAGCTTATATCTCCCCCCAGATTGAAAAAGACAACAGTGTATCCAGCTGCCAGCCCCTTATGCGCGCCTCCATACCGCCACACTTCTACACCTCTGCACCTCCCACCGGACTCAATGTGCTTTTCTCTTTCCTTCTAGTTGTACAATTTCCACTCAGTCAGCCTTCTTGTGGTTCTGGATGATATTCATTTTGTCTTTTAGTTGTAGTTTTAATGTGGTTGTGTGCGGCAGCAAGTTCAGGTGTTTACCTATGCCACCATCTTGGTTGTTCTATACTGTTTTTTAAATAAGACAAATGTTACTTTCTAAATAGGCAATCAAAATTTAATGAGGTTTGTGGTATTTCTATGGTAAAATGTTACGATAGTGATGAGAGAAATGACCTGGGGGTTCCTTACCATTGTTTGTTTGCCATTGCTTTTAAAAGATAGGTAAGTGCATGAGAAAACTGACTGAATTACTCTGGGTCCTAGTCGGCTCTTAGACTCAGGTTCTGGGTGCAGAGGAGATGTAGAATTCTGTAGATTCTAGAAGGTATAGAATATGAAAGAGGATAATGGGAAGATAGAGATCTTTATATGAATGAAGGGCAGTGTTGGGGTGGGAGAGGGAATAGTGAGATGGAAATAAGAAGGTCCAGCAGCTGTCAGCAACCTGAATGATTTGTTTATTGTCCTATAGTGTATTCTCGTTTCCCTCTCTACTTACTTGACTGATCTTGTGCCTGTAAATATAGAGAAATGCTGAAGTCATATATGGATTTTGCAAGTAAAATAGTGTTAGAATTTGAATTTTTCAGTACATTTCTTTATTTGGTATATATTGACATTTTAAAAATTCATAGTAAAATAAAATTAACTGACTAAATCCTTTTTTAGAAATAGTTGTTGATTAGTCATGCCATAGAAACACAGAGGTATATGTCTTCAAAGTAAAAGATAGTGAAAGTTAGACGTTATTTTACAAAATGACATTTGATATTTAGCAAAGATTTTTCTGACCTTGGGCACTTTTTTGTTTTGTTTTTAATTGATCTTAGAGAGAGAGAAACATCAACCAGTTGTCTCCTGTAGGTGCCCCAACCAGGGATCGAACCCACAACCTGGGTATGTTTCCTGATGGGTCATTGAACTTGCCACTTTTTGGTGTATGAGATAACACTCAACAAACTGAGCCACACCAGCCAGGGCATGACCTTGGGCAATTTTTTATGGAAAAGTATAGGTTAATAAATATCATAATGCATATTATTCTGGAATATAATAAAAATTCAATGTCTACTTTAACAGGCCAATAGCAGGATATGCTAACCTGTGTCCAAATATGATCTCTACCCAGCCTCAGGAGTTTATTGGGATGCTGTCTACAGTGAAACATGAGATTATTCATGCCCTGGTAAATTTTCCTGTTAACTCTTGTGTGTGTGTGTGTGTGTGTGTGTGCGCGTGTGCGTGTGCGCCTTGGTTTTCTGTTTATTGTGCTTTCATTTTGATGTATATATTAACATTTAAGATTATGTAGATTCTTAAATTCGTGTTCCATAAAACAGTTGATTAGGCCTTTGCCAGTAGAAAATTTCTAATGATTAGCATTTGAGCTAGGTTGAGTTATACTATTTAAAATAATTAAACAGTGCTCGCTTCGGCAGCATATATACTAAAATTGGAATGATACAGAGAAGATTAGCATGGCCCCTGGGCAAGGATGACATGCAAATTCGTGAAGCGTTCCATATTTTTACAGCCTAAGTGCCCATCAGCAAAAGAGTGGATTAAAAAACTGTGATACATCTACACAATGAAATACTATGCCGCTATAAAAAGGAAGGAACTTTTATCATTTGCAACAATATGGATGGAACTGGAGAGCATTATGCTAATCGAAATAATTCAGTTGGAGAAAGATAAATATCACATGATCTCACTCATATGTGGGATATAATGATCAACATAATTTGATGAACAAGAATAGATCGATCTAGAGACAAATGTTAGGGGAGGCAGGGGTTAGAGAGCAACTAAAGGACTTGTATACATGCATATTAGCATAACCAATGGACACAGACACTGGGGCAGTGGGGGTTTGCCCAGGATGGGAATGGCTGGGGGTGGGGGGCCAATTGGGGAAAAAGGAGACATATGTAAAACTTTAGACAATAAAAAAAATTAATAATAATTAAACAAATTAGTATATTAGGCAAATGGGATTTTTGAGAAAATAATTGTTTCTACAGAAAAAACAGTAATTTAGAAAAATTTACTTTCCTCTAAAATGACAACTGATATACTAATTATAGATCTTATCTCCTACAGAGATCTTATTTCTAAAAGTCCTCTTGGTCTATTTAGGCTTTCTAAGTGTATATGTACTAACTGATTCAGAACTTCTTTCATTTCCCTAATTTATCCAAAATAAATTTTGACTATGTGTCTAGGGAATTAAACAATGTTGCCTAAAATGCTAGGACATGTTCTTCTGATACCATCTGTGTATTTAGACAGTAGATGGAAGTAAATTTAAGAGAGAGAGTATTACACTGATCTAGGTGTGATTTTTTTAAATTCTATCACTAAAAATCTTTGGGATCTTGTGTAAATTACTTAGCCTTTGTAAGCCTCAATTTCATCTGTAAAATGAAGATATTAGTACATGCTACAATGGGATTTTTCTCTTGAAGATTATATAAGACAAAACATAAATGGGCCTGGCCCATGAGGTTCAGTGGTTGAGCATTGACCCATGAATCAGGAGGTCACAGTTTAATTCCAGGTCAGGGCACACGACTGGGTTTCAGGCTGGATCCCCAATAGGGAGCGTGTAGGAGGCAGCCAATTAATGATTCTCATCATTGATGTTTCTAACTCTCCCTCTCCCTTTCTCTCTTGAAATTTAAAAGAAAAAGGTTTTTTTAAAAGTAGTAGGAACTGAAATGTTTTTTGTTTTTTTTTTAAAACTTATAAATGGCTTAGCACCATGTCGTACATAATAAGGTGTAATAAAACTAGTGGCTATTATTTATTAGTTTTATTTAGTGAGCTATCATGTATGACCTTGAAATGCAGGCCTCACTCTCTTTTTTGGGGTGGGCCCTCAAATATTAAGGACATATATTAAGAACCAAGATGGCGGCATAGGTTAACGCCGGAGTTTGCTGCTTTGAACAACTACTTCAAAAGTGAAACCAAAAAACGGAAGGGACATCACCCAGAACCACAGGAACGCTGGCTGAGTGGAAGTCCTACAACTAGGAGGAAAGAGAAACGCATACGGACACTCAGAGGAGGCGCGGTGCTGAAGTCAAATTCTGAGGTGCGGAGTGCGAGGAGCGGGCTGGCGGCGGAGGGCGCGGTTGGCGTTTTCAATCGGGAGGGAGTCCCAGACTCTGAGCTCCAGCTACAGGCGAGTCTTTAGGGACCCAGACTCAAACGGGAGAAGCGGGACTGTCTGGCTTCGGTCAGAGCGAGTGCAGCTTTCTCTCTGAGCTTTGCAGCGGGTGCTGGGACTCAGAGAGGCAGAGCCCCTGGGGACAGGACTGAGACCCGCCATAACTGCTCTCTCCGGCCCACCCTGTTGATCCTGTGCGACCCGCCCCGCCCAAGCCCTGCACAGAGGCATTTGCCGGATAGCCTCAGGCAAAGGCTAGATTAGCACCTCCCTAGAGGACAGAAGCTCTCTCACTGCTGACACAGCTGATTCTCATAGCCACTTGGCCTGGAGGTCAAACCCTCCCTGGAATTAGCTACAACAATCAAGATTTAACTATAAGACTGCGCACAAAGACCACTAGGGGGTGCACCAAGGAAGCATAACAAAATGCGGAGACAAAGAAACAGGACAAAATTGTCAATGGAAGATATAGAGTTCAGAACCACACTTTTAAGGTCTCTCAAGAACTGTTTAGAAGCCGCCGATAAACTTAATGAGATCTACAAGAAAACTAACGAGACCCTCGATCTTATATTGGGGAACAAACTAGAAATTAAGCATACACGGACTGAAATAACGAATATTATACAGACTCCCGACAGCAGACCAGAGGAGCGCAAGAATCAAGTCAATGATTTGAAATGCGAGGAAGCAAAAAACACCCAACCGGAAAAGCAAAATGAAAAAAGAATCCAAAAATGCGAGGATAGTGTAAGGAGCCTCTGGGACAGCTTCAAGCGTACCAACATCAGAATTATAGGGGTGCCAGAAGATGAGAGAGAGCAAGATATTGAAAACCTATTTGAAGAAATAATGACAGAAAACTTCCCCCACCTGGTGAAAGAAATGGACTTACAGGTCCAAGAAGCGCGGAGAACCCCAAACAAAAGGAATCCAAAGAGGACCACACCAAGACACATCATAATTAAAATGCCAAGAGCAAAAGATAAAGAGAGAATCTTAAAAACAGCAAGAGAAAGAAACTCAGTTACCTACAAGGGAATACCCATACGACTGTCAGCTGATTTCTCAACAGAAACTTTGCAGGCCAGAAGGGAGTGGCAAGAAATATTCAAAGTGATGAATACCAAGAACCTACAACCAAGATTACTTTATCCAGCAAAGCTATCATTCAGAATTGAAGGTCAGATAAAGAGCTTCACAGATAAGGAAAAGCTAAAGGAGTTCATCACCACCAAACCAGGATTATATGAAATGCTGAAAGGTATCCTTTAAGAAGAGGAAGAGGAAGAAAAAGGTAAAGATACAAATTATGAACAACAAATATGCATCTATCAACAAGTGAATCTAAGAATCAAGTGAATAAATAATCTGATGAACAGAATGAACTGTTGATTACAATAGAATCAGGGACATAGAAAGGGAATGGACTGACTATTCCTGGGGGGGAAAGGGGTGTGGGAGATGCGGGAAGAGACTGGACAAAAATCGTGCACCTATGGATGAGGACAGTGGGTGGGGAGTGAGGGCGGAGGGTGGGGCGGGAACTGGGAGGAGGGGAGTTATGGGGGGAAAAAAAAGAGGAACAAATGTAATAATCTGAACAATAAAGATTTAATTAAAAAAAAAAAAAGGACATATATTGATTTACCTGAAGTATAAAATGTGGGGTTCAGGACTAACTTACCCTACTAGTCCAGCTCCATTTCCCTGTGCTTTTCTTGTCTGTATTTTTCTTAAGCATCAGTCTTTAAATCAGCAAATACATTGAATAACTTGGTGAAACTGTAGTGTAACCAAATAGTACTTATATCTTTCGAGTAAGGAGATTCCAAAATGAGTAATTTATTTTCCCTTTATTAAAAAAAGTAAGTTGAACCTGCTCAATTTGGTGAAAGACAAATGTCATTCTAAGTATCATTTTAAGCTTTAAGTTATAAAATCTATAGATACTTGAGAGAACCAGAGTAAAACAACAGGTTTTTAAGTCTAATCTATAGGTGGACATGAATACAGAGCTCCTAAACATGAGATAAATTAGGTTATGAATAGACCACAAAAGAAAAGGTTCACTTGGCCAAGAAATGTATGAGAAGGTATTCACACTTGCTTTAGTAGTCAGGTAATTTCAAATCAAAGTGAGACACCATTCAATGTAAAAACATGTATGAGAGTTAGGCAAATAGATTTCAAGGTAGTGGTTACTTCTGGGAAGAGAGGGAGGAAAAAGGATTAAGTAGTGAGGCTTCAGCAGTATTTACTCTGGAGTGTTTTATTTATTAAAAAAAAAAACAACCCTGAAGAAAATATGGAAAAACTAACATCTTAAATCCTTTTAAAGAGGATGCATAAGTTTCTGTTAGGCTTTTGAAACTTTTCTGTGTATTTGAATTATTTTAAAAATTGTAAAGCCCTACAAAATTTAAAGATTAGTTTAAATCTCAAAAACCATCCTGGAGGATGGAAAGAATTAAATGTTTAATAGCTACAGGTACTCCCTATAAAGTTAAGTATGTTCATAGCTCTCAACTACAGTCATCCATGGTACTTTAAATACTAGATAATCCTTCTGAAATATGAGTGCTTAGAAAAACTTTCTAGTTGATAGGGTGGGAAAAATGTTTATTTAGAATACCATAAAGGATGAGACAAATCATACTATTTTAAACTTTATGTAACTTCAGTGAATTTTATATTTAAAACTATTTAGATATTCTTAGCTGATTCCATTAAGTATCCTTTGCATCTTTAGAGGTTAAAAAAGAAGAAATATAGGAATAAAATACTAATATGGATTCCATTAATCATACCGGCAAGCATGAATGACACAGAGACCACAGTTAGGTTAGCAAAGAAATTTGCCAATGAAATTAAGTGATCATTTATGATTGTTAGTTATCTATAATAATAAAAGCGCAATATGCTATTTAGACCAGACATCCTTCTGGATGTCCTTCGGGTCCACCTTCTGGACGAAGCCAGGGCTGTGAGGGAAGTCCAGGTCCTGGGTGCCTGCTGGCGGCTGGAGGGAAGCCCAGGTCCCAGGTGCCGGAGGGAAGCCCGTGCCAACAGCTAGGGGAAGGAAGGCCTACTCTTGCATGAGTTTTGTGCATTGGGCCTCTAGTTTGAATATAAGCTGTAGCATATTCTCAATGTATAAGATATATATAAAGTAGTTACAGCCTGGCTGGCATGGCTCAGTGGTTGAGCATCAACCTATGAAACAGGAGGTCATGGTTTGATTCCCGGTTAGAGCACATGCCCGGGTTGCAGACTCAATCCCAGTAGGGGGCGTGCAGGAGGCAGCCGATCCATGATTCTCTCATTATGGATGTTTGTCTCTCTCCCCCCCCTCTTTCTTCCTCTCTGAAATGAATAAAAATTTTTTTTTTTTTTTTAAAAAAGTAGTTCCAAAAGTGCTTTGTTTTAGCTATTAGATTAGGAAAGAAAGCAAGAAAAGAAATAGGAGATATCAAATGTCAACAATTTTTTTGCCCACTTTCTCATGTTAATTGGAAGGGGAGGGATAGAGAATAGGAATTTTAATGTCTTTATGTGAAATATACATTATCATTAAAATTGAACACTTCTCTTTTTTTTAATATATTTTATTGATTTTTTACGTAGAGGGAGGAAGAGGAATAGAAAGTTAGAAACATCGACGAGAGAGAAACATTGATCAGCTGCCTCCTGCACACCCTCCACTGGGGATGTGCCCGCAACCAAGGTATATGCCCTTGACTGGAACCGAACCTAGGACCCTTCAGTCCGCAGGCCGACGCTCTATCCACTGAGCCAAACCGGTTAGGGCAAAATTGAACACTTCTTTAAAAACTATTTAAAATGTGATTAGAAACATAAAAATTCACATTGTAAAACAATTTTGGGAATGTGGGCGATTTTACACATTATCATATTAGCAAAAGAACCACAGCTAACATTTTCATATATGTTCCACTCTTTATCAAGTGTATAAATACACACACACACACACACACACACACCATACACACGCACACTCATTTCCACTTTTCTTAAGTGTAGATATATATTAAATGTGGATTTTGGAATCAAAGACACTGAAATTTTATGAATGTTCTTAGGAACATATTTGATCACTCACCCCCTACCCTACTCTATTGTTAATTTTTGTGAATAGTAGCATTTTCTGGATGCAGTTACAGAGTTTAGTAAGTTTATATGAAGATCTACTGTGATTAATACATTCTTAAACAAATAAATGCATTGTCTATACCCTAAAGAATATCTTTGTTACTGTTACTTATGGTTTCCTCACTTAATAATCTCAAGTAATTGGAATTTAAAATTCAAAAATATGGATTACTTAATTGTCCAATTTCAATATAAGAAGTTCCTGTAGAGGTACTGATGCTTCTGTGTGGTTATATCAGTGTTCTCTTTTGATAGCAGCATGTTATGATGTCTCTAATCAGAATTGATATTTTTTACTTTAAGACATTTCCAACTTTTTCTTATAGGGTTTCTCTGCTGGGCTGTTTGCATTCTACCGTGATAAAGATGGAAATCCTCTAACTTCAAGATTTGCAGATGGTCTCCCACTTTTTAATTATAGGTATTTGTTATTTTTATTCTTGTTCTCTTTTAGGAGAGATACTAAGACTTGAACCTGAGAATTGTAGCATGTTAAGTGCCATAAATAACAGTTGTTTTATGGCTAGCCTAAGAAAATTATAGCTATTAAAACAAGATAGGGTGTAAGAGGTCATTTAGCTTCACATACAAAGAAGTTTTAAAATTTTATATCATTAAATTCATCTCTTTTTTCCTTTATTGCATAAGAAAGTTCCTGCCCTCCAAAGATTATAAAAATATTACTCTAACCCTGGCTGTTGTGGCTCAGTGCTTGGAGCATCATCCAGTACAACGAACGCTGGTTGCAGGTTCAAGCCCAGTCTGGGTGCCTGTGCGAGGCAACCAATTGATGTTTCTCTCTCACATCACTGTTTCTGTCTGTCTCTCCTCTCCCTGCTTCTCTCTCTAAAATAAAAAATATTACCCTAAATTTTCTTACAATAAGTTATTATTTAATTTTTTGCATTCATAACTTTATTTGAAATTTATTTTTGCTTCATATATTTTGGTTCTTTATAGTAGGGGTGGGGAATGTCTGGCCTGAGGGCTGTATAAGGTCCACGAAATCATTTGGTTTGGCCCTGCCCAGGCAACCCCAGGCAGTACTTGAAATTCAATAAATCTAGGAGCTTTTTAAAGCAACATAAACTTATATTTAGTGAATTATATTAAGTGAATGATGTTATAAATACCAAATGGCTCTTGGCAGAAAAAAGGTTCCCCACCCTTATTTTATTTTATAAAATGTATTTATTTATCAGTACACAAGTCTTTTCTTTTTATACTTGTCATGCTATGAATTCACAGCTCAGGCTCCTGTCTCACACAGTGAGCTTCCCGGGGTGGAGCAGGCTGACGCTTTAGTTCAGCGGTTCTCAACCTGTGGGGCGAGACCCCTGTGGGGGTCGAACGACCTTTTCACAGGGGTCGCCTAAGACTATCGGAAAACACATATATAACTGCATATTATTTTTGTGATTAATCACTATGCTTTAATTATGTTCAATTTGTAACAATGAAAATACATCCTGTATATCAGATATTTACATTACAATTCATAAAAGTAGCAAAATTACAGTTATGAAGTAGCAATGAAAATAATTTTATGGTTGGGGGTCACCACAACATGAGGAACTGTATTAAAGGGTCGTGGCATTAGGAAGGTTGAGAACCACTGCTTTAGCTGAACCCAGGTACCTTTCTCTTTGGCTTCCTTCTTTTTCTGATCATTTTCCTTCACACGTTTTAGGAAGCTGTCACGGCTCTTAGGGTGCTTAATACGCTCAATGCGCACATTAATTCTCTTGGCAAGAATCTTGCCCTTAACTTGTTTGTTCACAGCAGTGCCCACTGCATGCTGGGTGACATTGTAGACTCTTCCAGTTTTGTCATGGTAACATTCATGGGCATTCCTTTTTTAACAGTGCCCATTCCTTTGATGTCCACAATATCACCTTTCTTGTAGATTCACACGTATGTGGCTAGAGGAACAACTCCATGTTTTCTAAAAATCCTAGAAAACATAGTGGGTGCCTCTCTTTCTCTTTGTGTTAGTCATTTTGGCAAATTATTGGAAGATGGCAGTTCTGGCTGAAAAGAAGATATATATATATATATATATATATATATATATATATACACACACACACACACACACACACACACACACACACACACACACACACTCTAGAGGCCCAGTGCACGAAATTTGACCTCTGCTGAGGGGTCCCTCAGCCTAGCCTGCACCCTCTCGCAGTCTGGGACCCCTTGGGGGATGTCCGTGACCCCGCGCTCCTTACCGCCCACCTGCTCGCTACTCCTTGCCGCTTGGCTTGCTTCTCCTTAGCGCTGCCGTGGAGGCAGGAGAGGCTCCTGCTACTGCCGCTGCGCTTGCCAGCTGTGAGCCCAGCTTCTGGATGAGTGGCACTCCCCCTGTGGGAGTGCACTGACCACCGGGAGCAGTTGTTGCATGGAGCATCTTCCCCCTGGTGGTCAGTGCACAGCATAGCGACTGGTTGTTCTGGTCTTTCTGCCATAATGGTTGGTTAGGCTTTTATTATATAGATGTGTTATATGTATTTTATTTATTTATTTATTTATTTATTTATTTATTTATTGAGAGGAAGGGAGAGCAATAGAGAGATAGAAACATCAGTGAGAGAGAACATCAATTGGCTGCCTCCTGCACACCCCTCACCAGGGGACCAAGTCTGCAACCCAAGCATGTGCCCTGAGCGGGAATTGAACCAGTGACCTCTTGGTGCATGGGTCGACACTCAGCACTGAGCCACACTGGCTGGGCTATATGTATATTTTTATAATTATTATGTCTTGGTGGATTGATTCTTTCATCATTAGAAAATTTCCCTATTTGTGTCTAGAAGTAATTTTTGTCTTAAAGTCTATTTTGTGTGATATTAATAAAATTGTTCCAGCTCTCTTTTGAGTACTGTTTGAATGTCATGTCTTTTTAATCCATAAAAGGATTAAAAGTTCAACCTATTTGTGTCCTTGAGTCTGAACTGTCTCTTGTAGACATATAATTGGATCATGGCTGTTGTTTTTTATGAATTCTTCTGGTGGCTGCCCAGTTGCTGGTTTTTGCCATGTCTGGACTTTTGGTTTTCAAGCCTGCCATAAGACAGGAGAGGGCATGGGAAAAAACCACAAAGCTTGCTGTTCTTACAATTCATTTTTCTTAATTCATCAGATTCATCAATTTTTAAGTGCTTCCTGGATTGCTGCAAGCCTTTGGTTAATTTTCAGAGTTCTAAAACAGTTGACTTGGTCAATTTTGCTACTTTTCTCATGGCTTCCACAAGGCAGAGAATTTTAAGAGGTCCTTACTCTACTATTTTTGCTGCCATCTGTCTGGAATTTATTTCTGTATATGGAACAAAATAGGGATTTAACTTTTTTCCTAGATGGATAACTGGTTTTATACAGTTATTATCTACACTAATAAAAGAGAAACATGGTAATTGGCGTATGACCGCTACCCTTTTCATTGGCTAATCAGCGAGATATGCAAATTAACTGTCAGCCAAGATGGCAGCCGGCAGCCAGGCAGCTTGAAACTAACATGAGGCTTGCTTGCCTCAGTGACGGAGGATCGTTGGAGGAAACCAACGTTCCCCGCCTGTGGCTGCAGGCCTCTGAGCGGGCAGTTTAAAAAACATTGTAACAAATACCGCCGGACTTCAGCCAGCAGATTCGCAACATTGTAAGCAAAGGCCAGAAACCTACTTTCAGCTGCGGAGGCCTAAGAGCTGGAGCCAAGCCTCAAGGTAAAGCTGGCCCAGAATAAAAAAAAAAAAGAAAAAAAGGAGCGGTTGGGAACTTCAGTCACTCCCAGCCTGAAAACAGCCCTCAGCCCCTCACCCAGACTGGCCAGGCACCCCAGGGGGACCCCCACCCTGATCCAGGACACCCTTCAGGGCAAACCAGCCGGCTCCACCCATGCACCAGGCCTCTACCCTATATAGTAAAAGAGTAATATGCCTCCCAGCACTGGGATCAGCGTGACAGGGGGCAGCGCCCAAACCCCCTGATCGCCCTGCAGCTCTGTGTGTGACAGGGGGCAGTGCCCCAACCCCCTGAGCAGCCCTGCTCTGTGCCTGATAGGGGGGAGCTCCCCAAACCCCCCCCCCCCTCACGGGCCCTGCTCTGTGTGTGACAGGGTAGAGCCATAACCTCCCCATCAGCCCTGCCCTGAGTGTGAGAGTGGTGGCACCCCAACCCCCTGATTGTTCCTGCTCTGTGGGTGATAGAGGGCGGTGCCCCAACCCCCTGATGGGCCCTGCTCTGTGTGTGATGGGGGCAGCACCCCAACCCCCCTGATGGGCCCTGCTCTGTGCGTGACGGGGTGGCGCCGCAACCTCCCCATTGACCCTGCCTTGAGTGTGACAGGGGACGGTGCCCCAACCCCCTAATTGGCCCTACCCTGAGTGTGACTGAGGGTGACATCACAACCTCCCAATCTGCTCTGCTCTGTGCATGACGGGGTGGCGCCCCAACTCCCCAATCGGCCCTGCTCTGAGCCTGACCAGGGGCTGCACCTAGGGATTGGGCCTGCCCTCTGCCACCCGGGAGCAGGCCTAAGCCAGCAGGTCGTTATCTCCCAAGGGGTCCCAGACTGCGAGAGGGCACAGGCCGGGCTGAGGGACCCCTCCTCCCCCCCGAGTGCACAAATTTTTGTGCACCGGGCCTCTAGTGTAAATTATACTTTCCCACTAAATTAAAGTGTCATCTTTTTGGGGGGTTTAAGTTCCTTTATATACTTGAATATGTCTCTGGACTTGCTTTTTCCCCCAATAAATGTCTTAAAAGGAAAGAATTCATTGTCATCATAGCCAAAAATTGGCTATATGGACTTGAGCAAGTTACTTCATCTCTCTAAGCTTCTGTGTGTTTATCTATGGCAGTGGTTCTCAACCTTGGCTGCACATTAGAATCACCTGGGAATCTTTTTAAAATCCTGATTTCTGGGCCTCATCCTCCAGAAATTCTGTTTCTTTGTTATGGGGTGGGGCTACAACATTAGTAACAAAGAAACAGAATTTCTGGAGGATGAGGCCCAGAAATCAGGATTTTAAAAAGATTCCCAGGTGATTCTAATGTGCAGCCAAAGTTGAGAACCACTGATCTATGGCATGGTGATGACACTCTCATGATGTTGTTGAAAAGATTAAATGAGAAAATGTTATCAAGTACTTTTATGAACTTGGTACATAGTAAGCTCGAATATTTTAATTTTATTGATATTCATAAAATTAAATGAGGTAAATTTACCTCACATTTAATGAGGTAAATTTGCAAAAGTGACTGTCTTCTTATCCTTTAATTACAGTCTTGGATTATATCAATGGAGTGATAAAGTAGTTCAAAAAGTGGAGAGATTATGGGATGTTCGAGATAACAAGATAGTTCCTCACACTGTGTATCTCCTAGTAACACCTCGTGTTGTTGTAAGTATTACTAAATTATTAACGTCACATGAGCCATCAGCTCTTCCTTCATAGTGGTCCTCTACTAATCATTATTGTTTAAGAACTATGATTACATTTTAGAGCCTATTGTAGGAAAAAGATTAGAAAGGCAATACAATAAAGCTACCCTCCCAGAGAAATCTGAGGAAATGGAAATTTGGCAATGACTCCTGGTTCCCCTTCTACCCACTGCTTTAAGTCAGTGCTCCTCTGTTTTCATACTTCTTAGCATTACTGGCACTATTGCATAATTGGGGATCACTTAATTTGGAGTCTGTATTAGTCAGAGTTCTCCAGAGAAACAGAACCAACAGGATGTGTTGACATGGGGGGAGGGAGAAGAAAGAGATTCATTTTAAGGAATTGGCTCATGTAATTGCGGAGGTTTAGAGAATCTACAATCTGAGAGAGTTGGCTAGCAGGCTGGAGACTCAGGGAAGAGTTTTAATTTGAATCCAAAGGCAGTTTCCTGACTGAATTCCTTCTTGCTCAGGTAAGGTCAGTCTTTGTTCTAAGGCCTTTAACTGATTGGATGAGGCCCATCTATAAATTTGCTTTACTCAAAATCCACTAAGTTCAATGCTAATCTCATCCAAAAGCATCCACATAGAAATATACAGACTAATGTTTGACCAAATATTTAAGCACTGCGGCCCAGCCAAGATCACATAAAATTAACTATCACACGTTTATGTAATGACAGAAACTTATTCTCCCTTTCTTCCTCCTTGACTGAACACAGCTCTAAGAGTCTTCGGAATTTTTACATCGCTCTTGGCATATTTTCCAACCCTGGAAGTCTCTAACTGAAGGACAGGCAGAACCAAATGAACAAAATTATATTCTTAAAAAATTATTTTTAAATATTTTATTGATTTCAGTGAGGAAGGGAGAGGGAGAGAGAGGGGGAAACATCAATGATGAGAGGGAATCATTGATCGGCTGCCTCCTGCACGCCCCCTGCTGGGGATGGAGCCTGCAACCCAGGCATGTGCCCTTGACCAGAATTGAACCCATGACCCTTCAGTCCGCAGGCTGACTTTCTATCCAATGAGCCAAACCGGCTAGGGCACCAAAGTAATTCTTTAATTCTTTATTACATATACTGTGATCATTTGCCATTATCTTGTACTTTTGTAGGGCTTATATTTTTTTCTGATTTTAAGGATGAAGCAAGAAAACATTTTAACTGTCCAATTCTGGAGGGAATGGAACTTGAAAATCAAGGTGGTATGGGCACCGAACTCAACCATTGGGAAAAGCGGTTATTAGAGGTAAGTTTACATTAAAATTTTACTAAATCTGTTTTTTCTTTAATATGTTACTAGACATATTTTTTCTTATGGTAAAAAGTCATTCAAACAGTATAATAATGTATACTAGTAAAATTAAAAAAATGTCTCTTTTGCCCTTTAGTTTTCCAGATCCACTTTCCTGAAGTAATCACTTTTTAAGTTTTTTGTATATCCTTTCAGAAATATGAACTAACATATATACTTTTTAAAAAATGGTTCGTACATTTCTACAACTTTCTTTAATGATATTTATCTTAAACATTTCTCCAAGGTAGTAAAGTGCTTCCACTGTAATGCAATGTATGCTTTCCTAGAAAAACCTCTTCCTCCAAAATTGAACACTAAAAATAACAAGGCTTGTGGGAAAAACAAATACCAGAGCACTAATAAAAGCAATAAGTCATAATAAAAGTGCTAGCTTGGTTTAAAAAGACATATATTTCCAATAAATAAACTATATTTACTCTAGTATTTCTTTATATTGAACAACAATAACAAAAAGCAGTGATAGTTGGATGGGAGACTATAAATCTGAGCAATGGAAGAAAATAGTAAAATTGTACAAAGATTAGAGAGAACCATGCAATAAGCACTTCAAGCCATGTAGAAGAGCATGGAGGGAACGGACATCCTGCACAGTATAGCATTTCTCTGTCACTGTGTTTAGCTGCCTTAGTGTGCTTTGTATTTAGCTGCTTTTGCTCCATTGCACAAAACATTAAAATCCAGGGGGAAAATCATTATGAAGCAACACGATCCTTATGATGATGATGATGATGTTGTTTTCTTATTTACCAGGCTTACATGAGCTCATTCACATACAGAAACACATGCTTTAGTAGAATAATCTGTATATTGGATCTGTTCATTTTTTAATAGCTACATATTATATGAACAACATTCCTATGCTAATGAATAACTTTTTAATTTTTAATTTTAAAAATATTGCAGTGAGCAACTTATTTAAATCTGCAATGTCTTCTAGGAGTGTTGTTCTAGTGGTGGTAATTAGGTTCAACTAAACAATCAAATTAACAAGACCTAAATAGTCCACATTGAAAAAACATTCATGTAGAAGGATAGAGGAAAGAAAGCACAGCATGCCACCATGGCCATCAGGCATTTCTCTTATACTCCATACAGCAGTCTAAGAGTTATCCATATATATAACTTGCAGAACCCTGTAAGGGTCATACCCATAAAAGTCACTGCACACCCGGAAGTCCCAAATTGTGGCTTACCAACAGGTGTTCTGTTCACTTATAGTAATCCCATATCCAGACGCATATCAGGAGGTCTTTTTCCCTGTGTACTGTTGCTGGTAACTCAGTTCACATTCCACCTTTATTAGGTTTCCAGAAACCAAAATTAGGAAGTTAACTCAAGGTCAAATTTCTTTATATAGAAAAAGAAGAGATAAATCCCTGTAAGTGGAGTGTCTTGCTCAAAGGAGATTATATATATAAAAGATGTGACACCAAAAGCATAAGCAACCAACGAAAATAGACAACATGAACTCCATAAAAAATTAAAAACTTTTGTGCTTCAAAAGACACTAGCAGGAAAGTGAAAAGACAACTCACAGAACGGAAGAAAATATTTGCAAATCATCTGTCTGATAAGGGTCTATAATCCAGACTATATGAAGAACTCTTATAACTCAGCAATAAAGCATGGCTAACAGTGGTTGAGCCTTGACCTATGAACCAGGAAATCATGGTTCAATTCCCAACCAGGTCACATGCCCAGGTTTCGGGCTCATCTCCAGTGTGTGTGTGTTGGGGGGGGAGGGGGGGGGGAGGGGCTGGGGGGCGTGCAAGAGGCAGCCAATCAATGTTTCTATCTCTCCCTCTCTGAAATCAGTAAAAATATTTAAATATTTAAAAATTTAAAAATGGGTGAAGGATTTGAAAATTATGCTTACATGTGTCATGACCTGAGTTGGTAAAACTGTGAAAAGAATAAAATTAATGCTTGTACTGACTTTATCTAGATGACCACAAGTAACAGTGATGGAAACTTACTAGAAGCGACATATATTTCTCTCGTGGGAATTTCAGTTTATTTTCTTTAAGCAATTTTATCAAGTGATTCCCTTTAGAAAGCTATAAATTGGCCAGAAATGAAAGCTTATTTACTTTTCAGTAGATAGTAATAATTTTATTAATTTCATCAACTTATACCTTTCTCTGAAGTCAACTTTGTGTCCTTGACCTATTTTTTAAAAAGGTGATATTAAAGTGCTTGAGAAGACCATCTAGTGTTCAAATTAAAGATTGGAAGAATAGTCAGAGCTGCCCAAAGATAGAATACGCCTTCTTAAGAGGCAGTGAAGTCCTTATCGTTAGGCAACCTACTGGTATAAATTTTATGATATGAATTAAAACGCTGGGTAGATAGTAGACCTTGATGGTATTTTAGGTCCCTCATGCAAATCCTTTGATCCTGTGATACGTGTTTTGCATATTAATGTATATTTCTTTGATCACAAAGTTGAGGGTTATGAAAGCATTTTTGTGTAATTCAGGTAAGTATTATCTGGGCATCTGTCTCAACTACCCATTTTGCCTAGGTAGTGTAATATTTTTACAGTATTCCTGTTTCAATGTATTTATCCTCATTTTCATCACAGAGTTCTAAATGCTGGCTGTCTACCATTCAAACAAAATTGGACACAATGTAGACATTTGAGGCAGAAAGTAGATTTTAAGCTTCGGTCTTGTCATTTTAAACAAGACTTCTGTATTTCACTATTTTAAGTGAATACTTCATGAGCCTCTCATACTTATGACATTTTAAATATACATCAACGTAATGATGGAAATTATTGAGATTGCAAGGGGTCCAGTCCTCTAACGAAAATCTGTTGGCATTTTTCAGAATGAAGCAATGACTGGTTCTCACACCCAGAACCGAGTCCTCTCTCGAATCACTCTGGCATTAATGGAGGACACTGGGTAAGACAGCTTTGAGATTATTATATGAAATTGTTCATTGAAATGAAATGAATATTAAAATAAATATGATTAAGCTAAATAAACTAATCAGCTTAAAATACTGACATTTTGCATTGAAGTAAAATATTCTTAGGAAAGACTAATTTAAAATTTTTTTAAATTATAAGTGAGATTGGTGATGTATAGATTCCTGGTTTTTAAAGCAGTAGACCTTTCTGGTAAAGCAGTAGAATACTGTTTTTAAATGACTCCAATGGGGGTCTTTTTTTTATTGGCTCCTGGATCCTTTAGAAAAGACATGTTGGTTTTTGATAGCTTCCTTGGCTTCTGGTATGGTAGAATGTACCAGGCTGATCAGCACATACGCCCTGGGTATCAGCCAATCTTACAAGGAGTGCTGGTTCCTTTTAATAGAGATAGCTTTAAGAAACCACAGCCCAGACACTGTGTTCATTGCTACTAGGTTATCATTGTTTCTCATACTTTACAGTGGACCAAGTTAGGGCATTCATATATTGAAAAGGGGAAAAAACCCCACAATGATGGATGTTTTTTTAGTGCCAGTATAGCTCTTTCTCATTTATCCCTGAATAAGCAATGGCTAGCTGAAGTGGTCCTGCTGCTTTGCTTAACAACCTATTTATAGCCCTTTTATAAACAATGCTAGTTTCTTTTAGATACCAGTTGGATATAGAAGCACTGTAGACTGGGTGAGTCACTAATGAAAAATCATGGAACTGGTGAATTTTAAAGCATTTTTTCTTTTTTTCTGAGGCAACACAACAGCAACATGGGCTGATTTTTTTCTAAATTCCTGGCAATATTTTAAAACTGTAGATACAGAGCCCAGCCAGTGTGGCTCAGTTGGTTGAACATTGTCCCATTCACCAAGAGGTTGTTGGTTCTGGCTGGCATGGAGGTCACAGTTTGATTCCCTGTCAGAGTACATGCCCAGACTTTGGGCTTGATCCCCAGTAGGGGTCGTGCAGGAGGCAGCCAAGCTATGTTTCTCTCTCAGCTATGTTTCTATCTCTCTCCCTCTCCCTTTCTCTCTCTAAAATCAATTAACCAAGAAAAGAAGTATAAATTGGTTGTTACAGAATAGTCATGAGGATGTAAAGTAGAGCATTATAATCAACTAGAGGCCCAGTGCACGAAATTTGTGCATGGATAGGGTCTCTAGGCATGGCCTGTGATCAGGGCTGATCAGGATCCCCGCCTCCCCATCTCCTCCTTCCATCGGTACCCATGCACTGCCACCATGTGATTCCCCCCAACTCCCCACCTCCTCCTTCCCTCACTCCCTTAGCCCCGCTGCCGCCACTGGTTGCCCATCATGTTCTGTGCTGCCCCCTGGTGGTCAGTGCACATCATAGCAACCGATTGAACTTTGCATATTAGTCTTTTATATATAGTATATAGATAATATTCTAATAACTATGTATGGGCCTAACTGGTTTGGCTCAGTGGATAGAGCATTGGCCGGCAGACTGAAAGGTCCCAGGTTTGATTCTGGTCAAGGGCATGTACCTTGGTTGCGGGCACATCCCCAGTAGGAGGTGTGCAGGAGGCAGCTGATCGATGTTTCTCTCTCATTGATGTTTCTCACTCTCTATCCCTCTCTCTTCCTCTCTGTAAAAAATCAATAAAATATATTTTAAAAAATAAATGAAAAAATAACTATGTATGGTGTTAGATGGGTATGAGATTTATTGTGAGGATCAGTTAGTAAGTTATATAATGTTTAATCAGTATAGAGTACACCTGAAACTAATATAATATTGTATGTCAACTGTAATCTATCCATATATATAAAAGGCTAAGCGACCTGCTGACTGGCCGACCAGCCAGTATGTATGATGTGCACTGACCACCAGGGGGCAGATGCTCAACCCAGTAGCAGCAGAATGAAAGCAACTTTGCAGAATGCCCTCTCGCATTCTGGGACCGCTTGGGGGATGTCAGACTGCCAGTTTCGGCTGATCCCCGCAAGCCAGGCCAAGGGACCCCACCTGCCGGAGGGACCCCACTCACTCTGCAGATGCCCTTTGAGCCCCAGCACTGCCCCAGGTGTGGCCAGCCAGGGAGGGACTGCAGGAGGGTGGATCCAGGGCGTGTCTGGCCCATCTTGCCCAGTTTTGCCCCACCAGCCACCTTCTAATTAATTTCCTTTCAATGTGCACGAATCTGTGCACCGGGCCTCTAGTTGAAAAAATTAAAAAGGATTTTTTCCCTTTTTTTTTTTTTTTTTTTTTTTTTGTTAATCCTCACCCAAGGACATTTTTCCCATTGATTTTTAGGGAGAGTGGAAGAGAGAGGGAAAGACAGAGAGAAACATTGATGTGAGAGAAACACATCGATTGGTTGGCGCCTGCATGAGCCCTGACCTGGGCCTGGGCTGGGGAGGAGCCTGCAACCAAGGTACAAGCCCTTGACCAGAATCAAACCCAGAACCTTCAGTCCACAGGCCAGTGCTCTACCCACTGAGCAAACTGGCTAGGACCAAAATTTAAAAAAAGATTAAAAAAGAAAAGAAAAAAAGAAATGCTAATAAAAGTAAGCTTGTTGATTAAATTTGCCAGGAAACTAATTCAGTGTGCTGTGTGTGTGTTTTCTGGAATGAGAATATTTTAAAAGTATTAGACATTGTATTAATTTGTCTTATTATAATGGTGTAATATTTAGTCACAAGCAGGGCCTGTATGATAAAATAGCACAGATTCAAGGCCAGAGAAGCAAGACACTAGGGCCAACTGAATCAGATTAGGTAAAAACTAGCTACCTAACAATCCCACTGTTTCTTCCTCAGTTTACTCCTCTCTTTCTCTCATTCTCTTTGTTTCTTTGGCCCTCATTCCGCTGGTCTCACACCTGAACCAGTTTCTACTCTGTGACTTCTATCATCTTTGGAAATTACAATGGAAACATGGTTTGTTAGTTTTTTTCAACTGTGAACAGCCTCACCATAAAACTGAAGTCCTCCAGTCATGCCCCGGAGACCCTTGCAGCAAGGGCTTTCTTAGTAATGCCTCTCCGTGGGATGGCCACCAAAGTCCCTTTTGAGGTCCTAGTCTTCTCATTGTTGAGATTTGTCCTGGGTATGTTGGAATTGTTTTTTAAATGACAGCAATAAAAAGTGCTTTGTTTGAATTATTTCCACAGCTGGTATAAAGCTAATTATAGCATGGCTGAGAAGTTAGACTGGGGTCGAGGAATGGGCTGTGACTTTGTCAGGAAGAGCTGTAAATTCTGGATTGATCAGCAGAAAAAAAAGTAAGAATACATTTCCTCATAATGTTTGATAACAATTTATTTCTGATTTTGTTCTTTATCTGGAGCCTAAAGTGTTACTTTCAAAATATGGTCTGAATAGTTCATATTCAAAATGTGTAAAAAACCATTTATGGTGCTTGGTGATATAACAAATAGCTGCATATTGTTTTAAATTGTATACTTAAAGAATCTACAATGTGGGAGCCAGACCATAAAATATTTCTGTTTAGCTTATAATTCATAAATATACACTGCAAACATTTTACATACTCTATATTTCTTACTGTTTTCTTCAAAAAATGCACTCATAAACATATATGTAACTGCTGATTCAATATTAAAAAAACATAAAGGTATTTTTCAATAGAGTTCTCAAATCTGGATGCATATTATAATCACCTAGCAAGCTTTTTTAAAAATACAGTCTCCAATTTTGGGAGATACACACAAACACACACATGCATGTTCATATTTTATATGTATATATATATATATATATAAAGATAATTAGAGATTCATATTGCAGACATTCCATATACATTTTTTTAAAATATATTTTATTGATTTTTTACAGAGAGGAAGGGAGTGGGTTAGAGAGTTAAAAACATCAATGAGAGAGAAACATCAATCAGCTGCCTCCTGCACACCTCTACTGGGGATGTGCCCACAACCAAGGTACATGCCCTTGACCGGAATCGGGACCCCTCAGTCCGTAGGCCAATGCTCTATCCACTGAGCCAAACTGGCTAGGGCCATTCCATGTACATTTTATCCAGTTGCCTTGATTGGTAACATTTTACAAAGCTATAGTACAACATCACAGCCAGGATATTGCCACTGATATGGTCAGATACAGAACATTTGGATCACTGCAAGGATCCCTCTTGTTTCCCTTTTATAGTCATACTCAGTACCCTCTCATGTCAACCCTCCTTAACTCCTGAAATCACTGATCTGTTCTCCATTTCTCTCATTTTGTCCTTTCAAGAATATTATATAAATGGAACTATATTGTATATAATGAATACAGTATTCACTATATACTGTATTCATATTAATGAATGAAAAACATTTTAATGAATGAAAAAAATCCTTTGACTCTTCTGTTTCTTTTACAATTTAACTAGATATTTGTCAGTTTTACCAATTTTTAAAATATATATATTTTTTATTGATTTTAGAGAGGAATGGAGAAGGAGAGAGAGCTAGAAACATCAATGATGATAGAGAATTATTGGCCCTGACCTGTTTGGCTCAGTGGATAGAGCGTCGGGCCGTGGACTGAAAGGTCCCAGGTTTGATTCCGATCAAGGGCATGCACCTTGCCAAAACCGGTTTGGCTCAGTGGATGGAGTGTCGGCCTGCGGACTGAAGGGTCCCAGGTTCGATTCCGGTCAAGGGCATGTACCTGGATTGCGGGCACATCTCCAGTAGGAGATGTGCAGGAGGCGGCTGATCGATGTTTCTCTCTCATCGATGTTTCTAACTCTCTATCTCTCTCCCCTCCTCTCTGTAAAAAATTAATAAAATATATTTAAAAAAAAAAAAAAAAAGGGCATGTATCTTGGTTGCAGGCTCAGTCCCCAGTAGGGGGCGTGCAGGAGACAGCTGATCCATGTTTCTCTCTCATTGATGTTTCTAACTCTCTATCCCTCTCCCTTTTCTGTAAAAAGTGAATAATAATATATTTTTAAAAAAGAAAGAATTATTAATCGGTTGCCTCCTGCACTGCAGGCCCCTGCAACCCAGGCATGTATCCTTGACCGGGATCGTACCAGGGACCCTTCAGTCCGCAGGCAGACACTCTATCCACTGAGCCAAACCAGCTAGGGCAGTTTTACGAATTTTTTTAAAAGAACGAACTTTTTGTTTTATTGATGTCTTCTGTTGTTTTTGTTTTCAAATCCATTGATTTCTGCTTTTATCTTATAGCTTTTCTTCTGCTTGTTTTTTATTTCTTCTTTCTCTACATTGTTGATTATTAATTTGAGATGTTACATATTTCTGATTTAGTGTTATAAATTTCCCTCTCAGCATTTCTTCAGCATTGTCCCACAAATTTCAATGTTTTATTTTTATTTCCATTCATGTCTTAGTCTGCTTGGGCTCCCATAACAAAATACAGAAAGTGTGGATTAATCAGCAGAAATTTATTTTCTCATGGTTCTATAGGCTGAGAAGTCTGAGATCAAAGTGCCTGCCAATCTTGTTCATGGTGAGAGTTCTCTTTCTGGTTTGCAGACAGCTGCCTTCTCACTGTGTCCTCACATGGCAGAGAGAGTGCGCTCTGGTCTCTTCCTCTTCTTGTAAAGACACCAGACTTATCAAATTAGGACTCTACCCTTATGGCCTCCTAAAGACCCTTTCTCCAGTTATAGTCAGATTGGAGGTTAGGGCCTCTACACATGAATTTTGGAGGATTCCGTTTAATCTGTAGCAATTAGTGCAATTTTTAAAAAAGTTTCCTTGAGCACTGGCTTGTGTAGTTCAGTGGGTAGAGCGTTAGCCCGCACACTAAACTTTAGGGCATGTACCTGGGTTGCAGGTTCAATCCCTGGCACCAGTCAGGCCGTGTGTGGGAGGCAACTAATCAATGTCTCTCTTGCATCGATGTCTCTCTCTCTCTCTCTCTCTCTCTCTCTCTCTCTCTCTCTCTCTCCCTCTCCCTCTCTCTCTCTCTCCGACTCTGTCTCCCTCCACCTACCCTTCCTGCCCCCCAATCTCCACCCTATCTCCCTGCTTCTCTCCCTCCTTTCCACTCTCAATGGAAAAAGTATCCTTGGGAGAGGAGAGGATTAACAAATTAAATAATTAAACATTAAATAAATTACTTTCTCTTCAAGATTAGATTTAACAGAGAACAGAACAAGTTGTAACAATTAGAAATATTGACACAATTTTCATTTTATGCAGAAAAACAAGATTGGATTGTGAATATTGTTTTTGTTTTTGTGTGTATATGTGTTCTTTTTTAAACCTCACCCAAGGAATGAGTATATTTTTCCATTGAGTTTTTAGAGAGAGTGGAAGGGATGGGGCAAGGGAGGAAGGGAGAGAGAAAGAGAAACATCCATGTGTTAGAGGCACATTGATTAGTTGCCTCCCAACAAGAGCCGGGATTGAACCTGCAACTGAGGAACGTGCCCTTGACCGGGAATTGAACCTGTGACCCTTCCGTCCGAGGGCCGGCCAGGGCGTGAATGTTTTTAATTTAACAAATTGTCAAATAGGATTCTTTGAACTAGATTGTAGCATAGAAAATATTTAACTCTTTGTAGCTGCAGGACAAAGGGGACATCATCTCCATTTGTTTCTGAGACTCCATTTGTTAATTATGAAGATGTGTATTTTTGACAAGCTCTGGAATTTCATTATTTGTCATATAAAATGCAAATCAGGTCTTTACAATTCCATTTTACTGACAAAAATGGAGAGAGATAAATAAGATATTATTTAATAACAGTGAAATAATGTTATAATGCATCTAGCTTTAATCTTTCACATTTACATTAAGCATTCCTTTTACCCTTTGAAAAATAAGTTTATAACTCGATTTAGCAATTCATTTTAAGCTATTAAAACATTGAAATTATAGTGGAAAAGATAAGCTTATAATGGAAAAGAGTAGACGTGTACTGTTTTCTTTACAGTTTTATACGGTGGTGTTTATTTTTATGTGCAGGCGGCAGATGCTGAGCCCTTACTGTGACACTCTCAGAAGTAATCCCTTGCAGTTAACTTGCAGACAGGACCAGAGAGCAGTTGCAGTGTGTAATTTGCAGAAGTTTCCAAAACCTTTGCCTCAAGAATACCAGGTAACACTTGATTGGGGCCCAATTTTAAGAATCACCTTTTTAAAAATAAGTTTCTATTTTGAATTAGAAGAGTAAAGTCTCTTAACTGTTTCAATTTATAAGGCCTCATTTGTTTTCTATAAGTCAGATAAAACTGAGGAATTCCTCTATTTATTTATAACTAATGTGATATAATAGATAGTGATTAATATCTAGCAATTCCTGTAGAAATAGTAAGAGGCATTTAAAATGTTTATTTTGCTCTAAATATTTCTAAACTGTATGTTTTTTCTTTCTAGTTGTTTCCAAAGTCTTCATCTTTAATTTCCTCTAATTTATACACCAAAAAACCCCCCAAGATTCTTTAAAGAAAATAACCCAGGTACTCTAAGCCAATTAATTAGAAGGCTTGGGAGTTCTGATTTAGAGGAGGTTTGACTTAAGGGATGTAAAAGGTGAAGAAAATGGCCCCACATGATGTTGTCTGAATCTCTGATTTGACCTTTTAAGTGTTTCGTTGCCATGGCTATCTCTAAAAAGCCTGAACTCTGCCTGTCATTTTCAAAGGACACGTTAGTCAGAAATTATATCACAAAAGCTAATTTTAAATGATTGCTGCTAAATTTTGAGCTTCCTACATAGGTTTATGATCTTTCTGAGCGTTTCAGACACCATATGATGGTAACTATATTTCTTAGACGTCTTATATAATAAAAGGCTAATATGCAAATTTCCCCCTCGACTGGGAGTTCTACCAGGAGTTTGACGGGGGCGGGGCTGGCCCACCAGCCACCTGCAGCCCCTCTCCCCAGCCAGCCCCGCCCCGCCCCCAATTGGCCACCCCAACCCCAATCAGGGCAGGCTGGCTGGACCCCACTCATGCACGAATTTGTGCACTGGGCCACTAGTAGTATTATCATTCAATGAGTTGGTGTAAAATGTGAAATCTTTAAGATTTATCTGGTACCTTGTTCCTTTGGTGTTCAAAGTATTATATGTATATATGTGATCTCTTGCATTTTCTTACAATTTTACTTTTTCAAGAATGTCAAAACAGCGTGTAAAGACATTTAAAGTACAGTATATTTAAAATTTTAATTCTATGAAGTTTTATGTATTTTGTCAACTCTTAAAAGTCTTCTGATTCATTCTGTAAAAACATAACAAATTTGTTATCTAATAAAAAACTTAACTAGTTTACTTACCTTACTTATTTCTAAAACTATAATAGCTTTGACATACCCCTGAGTAGTATATTAATATTTTTGTGTTACACTGTACATCAAGCATGTCAAACTCACGGCCCACGGGCCGCATGCCTCGTTTATTTGGCCTGTGTTAGCTTTTGAGTTTGACATGCTTGCTGTACATGAGGAAAACTACATTAATATCTTCTTTGTGTTATACAGCATTAGAGGGTTACTACAAATTGTCTGTGGACTTAGTTTGGTTATACAGAATATTTCTTTTTTTCCCTGTCTTCCTAATACTTTTTTTGTAGTACTTTGATGAACTCAGTGGAATACCTGCAGAAGATTTGCCTCATTATGGTGGTTCAGTAGAAATTGCTGACTACTGCCCTTTCAGTCAGGAATTCATTTGGCATGTAAGTGGTGAATATCAGCGCAGCTCAGATTGTAGAATATTGGAAAATCAACCAGGTTAGTAGTCTAGTGAAATGAAATGTTATATACATATTACAATTATATATCAGCAATGTAAAATAGTGGTTAAGAGCACAGACCCTAGAATTTGTATTGTGGTTCCACTGCTATCCATCTGTTTTAAATAATCTAACTTCTGTGTGCCTCAGCTTCTTCCTCTGTAGAAAGGGGATAATAATATATATCTAATAGAGGTCTGGTGAGAATTAAATGAATTAATGTAGTAAGAGCTTAGAACCATCACACATAGAAAAGATTTTTAGCTATTAGATAGATTTGTGCATGTATACACACTGCTTTTTAGTAATATCTTACATCTGCCTGAAACTTTCATTTGCAAAACTCTTTCATTTTTATATTTCATTTTATTCTTCTAAGAACCTGACGAGAGACATAGAGAAGATATTATTGAATTTCACAGATGAATAAAAAGACACTAAGTGATCCAGTTACTTAGTTCAGGGCCCTCCAATGGAGAGCTCTTTTTAGCTAATCACATTTGGTAACCTATTTTTTCAACTCCTAAGGAGTGTGCATTTTATGTAATTTAGAAGTAACATGCCATTCTTCAGATATCAGAATAGCATTATTATCCCATCACTAGTAAGATGTGGTCATACTATTTTTTTAGAATATATTTTTTATTGATTTTTTACAGAGAGGAAGGGAGAGGGATAGAGAGTTAGAAACATCGATGAGAGAGAAACATTGACCAGCCGCCTCCTGCACACCTCCTACTGGGGATGTGCCCGCAACCAAGGTACATGCCCTTGACCAGAATCGAACCTGGGACCTTTCAGTCCGCAGGCCGACGCTCTATCTACTGAGCCAAACCGGTTTGGCTGTTGTCATACTATTTATTCTTTCGTAATACATATAAATGAACAGGTCTTCAAAGGGATAAACAGTATGGCAGTTGGATATTCAACAATAATAGTTACAGCTCCCACTATCCACCTCTATAAATAAAGTGTTCTCACATCTGATATGTTAATAAATAGCAATAAATAGTTTTTGTTTCTGTGGTCATCAAAATTTTTTAAAAATATTTTTTTATTGATTTCAGAGAGGAAAGGAGAGGAAGAGAGAGAGAGACAGAAACATCAATGATGAGAGGGAATAATTGATTGGCTGCCTCCTGCACGTTGGACCGAGCCTGCAACCGAGGCATGTACCTTTGACCGGAATTGAACCTGGGACCCTTCAGTCCGCAGGCCAATGCTCTGTCCACTGAGCCAAACCAGTTAGGGCATCATCAAAATTTTTAACCTGGTCCTTTCCCCCACTCCCCCTTTATACATACTTTATTACAAACTAAGTCACTTAAATTTTAAATTTCCATAATGTTTTATTTTTAAACCTAGCAGATTTAACAGGGTTTGTAGTTATTTTTTTTTATCACTCACCTACTTAATAAATATTAAAGATTTATGATACAACTACTCAGCAGTTCCATATAAAACAAAAGAAATGCACAGATCTATCAGTCATGGGTTTGCTAAAAATACATTATCACATGTTACTGTTTTACAGATGGAGTTGGCAAACATTTATTGTAAAGAGAAAATAGTAAATATTTTAGGTTTTGTGGGTCATAGTCTCAGTTGCAGCTGCTCAACACTGCTGTTGAAGTGTGAAAGCAGTCATAAACAACCTATAAATGAATGAGTGTGGATGTGTTGGCTAAAACTTTATTTATAAAAACAGGTAACCTTCAGGATTTGGCCTGAGAATTGTAGCTTGCTGATGCTCCTTTTTTTTTTTTTTTTTTAACCATTGGTCACTGTTTTTTGAGGACTTCGAAATACTCTGAAAATAAAAGAAATATAGAGTTCTATTTTACATTTTCTTTCTTCGTTTTTATAATTAAGATTTTTCAAAATTGACATAAAATAAAATACTTATTTTTTTTAAAAAATTTTATTGATTGATTTTAGAGAGAAAAAGAGAAACATCAATTTGTTATTCCACATATGCATTCACTGGTTGATTCTTGTATGTACCTTGATGGGGGATCGAACTTACAACATTAACTTATCAGGATAACACTCTAACTGAGCTACCCCCGAGCCAGGGAAATACTTACCTTTTTATCATATATTAGAGGTCTGGTGCATGAAATTCATGCACCCTCTCGCAATCCAGGACCGCTTGTGGGGATGTCTGACTGCTGGTTTAGAGGTTAGAAAGAAACCTTGTGAGAGAAAAAAACAAAACAAAACAGAGGCCACTCCAGTGAGGGTGGGTTCTGAGGAGCTAGGGTTAACTTTCTGCGTGAATATTTGCCGGGCCAGGGAAGAGGGAAGGAAAAGTGTGTGTGTGTGTGTGTGTGTGTGTGAAAGAGAGAGACCCCCACAGACTCCAGACTCTTTTGTTCCAAAGCACAAAACTTTATTTTCCCCACGTTTATCACATGTCTAAACACAAACCATCGTGTACTTCAAGCAACATGTATTAGGGAAGGAGAATGCAGCCTTAAAGCAAAGGGTGGGGGTGTCAGAAGTGAGTAACTCCTCTCGTCCTCCAGCTGAAGCTCCTTGGGGGCCTGCCTCTTTGGGAATCCACATTTATCTCTTAGCATGTGGGAGGTTAGGGAGTGCAGCATTATCCTGGGAGGGGAAGGTCATGGGGACTGCACCCATGGTATTCGCCCCAAATTTCATTTCCTCACCTCACCACTGATCCAGTTAATGGGGTCGGAGGTCTGCAGCTGGATGCCTCCAGGCAGAGAGCACGCTGGGGGCTGGGGGTCCAGCCCCAAGGCCCCTGCGTACAAGCCCCACCCCCACCAGCAAACCCCCTGCGGGCAGCCGCTGGGGGTGTTCCGCCCCACCGCCCCAGACTCAATCCAGCTGGGTGCGGAGAGTGATTAGGCAGCTCTGTGGCAGGTGGCTCCGCAGTTAGCGCCTTTGAATTGTGCGCCGCTGGCGGGAAAAGAAAAGCCTCCCCAGAAAGAGGTTTTTCAAAAGTCTCCAGGGACTGGGAGGTTGCCCCACTAGGGCCTTCCTTCCCTAGAGAGATATAGAAACATTAATGATGAGAGAGAAACATTGATCAGCTGCCCCTTGCATGCCCCCTGCTGGGGATTGAGCTTGCAACCTGGGCACTTGCCCTGACTGGGAATTGAACCATGATCTCCTGGTTCATAGGTCCACACTTAACCACTGAGCCACAATGGCAGGGGGCTAATTGAACTCTCTGCTTTCAAAAGATGTAACTTACTTGTATTAAGTGTAAAGAGAGCAAAATATTGCTTGTGTATAAGACCTTCATCCTTTGCCCATTAGCTATTTAGAGGTCATTGAGTCCACTCTGCAAGTTTGTGTTTAGTCTGAGACTAGATCAGCATGGTATTTATGAACTTCCAGGGGATGACAATACAAGTTGAAAATACAAAAAGAGTTTTGCAAAAGTTGCAAGACCCCCAGAAAGCTTTCATTATATAAATAGTTGCCTTCATCCTTTTTTGGGTCATTTGGCAAGTGACTGCTATTTAAGCCACTAATGAAGGTGATTCTCAGTGCCATTTCCTCTGTATATTTAACTTAAATACTTTAGATCCACTTTTATCACTTGTTTCTGGTATAATAATTTTCTCCCAGTAGTTTCTGTATTGAGAACCTAGTTTAAGTTTGGAGCCCTCTTTCTCTTGATATTTTAAATTGAAATTTTCCATTAAACATGTTTGTTTTTAAAATAACCATTAGTCATAAAGATGGAATACTTCAATTTCTTGTTCTTTGAGCCAAAGATCAGTTTTTAAGAACATTTTTTCTGGTTTTCTTCAGACCTTTTTAAAAACTATGGTGCTGAAAAGTATGGACCTCATTCAGTTTGTCTAATTCAGAAATCAGCATTCGTCATGGAAAATTGTGAAAGGAAGCAGAGTTACCCAGACTGGGGGAGTGGATGTTATCAGGTAAACTAAATGATTGCTAATAATTATACCAAATATTATATAACTTTTGTCTCATTATTTGATTACTAGGGGCCCGGTGCACGAAATTCGTGCACTGGGTGTGTGTGGGGGGGGGGGAGTGTCCCTCAGCCCAGCCTGCCCCCTTTCACATACTGGGAGCCCTCAGGCGTTGACCCCCATCACCCTCCAATCGCAGGATTGGCCCCTTGCCCAGGCCTGACGCCTCTGACCCAGGCTTCAGGCCTGGGCAAGGGGACCATCATATCCCTCCAATCCCCGGCCTGGGCAGCGGGGACCCGCAGCTGCAGTGGCCCCGCGATCGTGGGCTCCGCTTTAGGCCCAGGCAAGGGACCCCTAGCTCCCGGGACTGCCAGCTTCAACGGTGCCCAGCTCCCATCGCTGGCTCCACCCCTACTTCCTGCTATCACTGGCCAGGGCAGCAAAGGCGCCTGATTCTCCAATCATGGCTGGGGGGCAGGGCAAAGGCGGCCCCAGGGCCGTCTTTGCCCTGCCCCCCAGCTCTTAGCTTCCCCCTGGGTTTCCGATCACTGTCAGTGGCATGGGGCTTCTTCCTGCTTTCCCTTTCGCCTCCCTGCATTGTGCCTACATATGCAAATTAGCCGCCATCTTTGTTGGCAGTTAACTGCCATCTCAGTTGGCAGTTAATTTGCATATAGCCCTGATTAGCCAATGAAAAGGGTAGCGTCGTACGCCAATTACCATTTTTCTCTTTTATTAGTGTAGATTATATTTTAAAATACATTTTATCTTTTTAATTTACTGATTAATATTTAACTTAGTTTGTTTATGTAAATATTAGTTTGGATGCTTGTGTTTTGTGAAAATATTAGTGGTGTGTTTTTTTTTTAGAGAAATTGCCTATCTCTGTTTTATATATATATATATATATATATATATATATATATATATATATATATATCTACACTAATAAAAGAGAAACATGCAAATTAACCATCACTATGCTACATCCACCAGCCAATCAGGAGCAAGTATACAAATTAACCCAACTAAGATGGCGGTGGCCACGGAGCTCAAGTGAGCAGGAGGCTTGGGTTGCCCCCAGCGATAGGAACCAAGCTTCCCGGCCAGCCCTGGCCTCCGCTCAAGGCTACAAAGTTTCAATTATAGAAGATAAGTAAATCCCAGATACCTGCTTCCAACCAGCTCTGGCCTCCGCTCAAGGAGGTGTTGAAAAAAAAAAAAGAAAAGAAAAAAAGGAGAGGCTTGGAGCTTGGGTCACCGGGGGGGAGTGGCCAGCCTGAAAAGAGCCATCAGCCCCTCACCCAGGCTGTCCAGTCACCCCAGCGGGGGACCACCCCCCCCGAAGGGGCTCTGGCCAGCCTGCAAACAGCCATCAGCCTCTCACCCAGGCTGGCCAGGCACCCCAGTGAGGGCCCCTCACCCAGGCTGGCCAGGCACCCCAGGGGGACCCCTACCCTGATCCGGGACATCCTTCAGGGCAAACCACCCGGCCCTCACTCATGGACCAGGCCTCTATCCTATCTAATAAAAGAGAAACATGGTAATTAGCGTATGACCGCTACCCTTCCCATTGGCTAATCAGGGCAATATGCAAATTAACTGCCAGCCAAGATGGCGGCCAGCAGCCAGGCAGCTTGAAACTAACATGAGGCTTGCTTGCTTCAGTGACGGAGACTCCAACGTTTCCCGCCTGCCGCTGCAGGCCTCTGAGCTGAAACTCTAAGCAACTATGTTACAAATATAGAAGCTAAACAAAACCCCAGAAACCTGCTTTAGTTGCCGGGCTTCAGCCAGCAGGATCACAACATTGTTTCAAATACAGAAGGTAAACAAAGGCCAGAAACTTGCTTTCAGCAGTGGAGGCCTAAGAACTGGAGCCAAGCCTAAAAGCTAAAGCTGGCCCAGAATAAAAAGAAAAAAAGGAGTGGTTGGGAGCTTCAGTCACCCGCCAGCCTTAAAACAGCCCTCAGCCCCCACCCAGACTGGCCAGGCACCCCAGTGGGGACCCCCACCCTGAAGGGTGTGTGACCAGCTGCAAACAGCCATCATCCCCTCACCCAGGCTGGCCAGGCACCCCAGTGGGGACCTCCACCCTGATCCAGGACAACCTTCAGGGCAAACCAGCCGGCACCCACCCGTGCACCAGGCCTCTATCCTATATTGTAAAAGGGTAATATGCCTCCCAGTACCGGAATCAGCGGAACTACGAGGCCTCCCGGCACCGGGATCAGCGTGACAGGGGGCAGCGCCCAAACTCCCTGATCACCCTGCGGCTCTGTGTGTGACAGGGGGTGGGGCCACAACCTCCCTATCTGCCCTGCTCTGTTCGTGACAGGGGAAGGCGCCCCAACCCCCTGATCAGCCCTGCCCTGTGCCTGATAGGGGGGAGCTCCCCAACCCCCTGATTGCCCTGCGGCTCTGTGTGTGACAGGGTGCGGCACCCCACCCCCCTGATCGGCCCTGCTCTGTGTGTGACGGGGGCAGCGCCGCAACCCCCTGATGGGCCCTGCTCTGTGTGTGACGGGGGCAGCGCCCCAACCCCCTGATCGGCCCTGCTCTGTGTGTGATGGGGTAGAGCCATAACCTCCCCATCGGCCCTGCCCTGAGTGTGAGGGTGGCGGCACCCCAACCCCCTGATCAGCCCTGCTCTGTGGGTGATAGAGGGCGGCGCCCCAACCCCCTGATCTGCCCTGCTCTGTTTGTGACAGGGGGCGGTGCCCCAACTCCCCTATCGGCTCTACTCTGTGAGTGACGGGGGGAGCTCCTCAACCCCCTGATTGGCCCTGCTCTGTGCATGACAGGGGGCAGCTCCCCAACCCCCTGATGGGCCCTGCTCTGTGCATGACAGGGTACGGAGCCCCAACCCCCCTGATGGGCCCTGCTCTTTGCGTGATAGGGTGGCGCCGCAACCTCCCCATCGACCCTGCCTTGAGTGTGACGGGGCGGTGCCCCAACTCCCAAATCGGCCCTACCCTGAGTGTGACTGAGGGTGGCATCGCAACCTCCCAATCCGCCCTGCTCTGTGCATGACAGGGGGCGGCACCCCAACTCCCCAATCAGCCCTGCTCTGAGCCTGACCAGGGGCTGCACCTAGGGATTGGGCCTGCCCTCTGCCACCCAGGAGCAGGCCTAAGTCAGCAGGTCGTTATCTCCCGAGGGGTCCCAGACTGCGAGAGGGCACAGGCCGGGCTGAGGGACCCCCCTTCCCCCTGAGTGCACAAGTTTTTGTGCACCGGGCCTCTAGTTTATACTAATAAAAGGGTCATATGCTAATTAGACTGGGAGACCTTCCAGGAGACCTTCCGGACGTTCTTCTGGACAAAGCTTTGGTGGTGGGGCCGAGGTAGAGGCTGTTAGAGGCCAAGAGGGGAGGGCAGTTGTGGGTGATCAGGCTGATGGGGTGCCGGAGCCGTTAGGGTAAGCAGACCAGCAGGGGGGCCAGTTGGGGGCAAGCAGGCCATCAGTGGGGGTCAGTTGGAGGTGATCAGACAGCGGGGGCTGAGGGGGAGGCAATTTGGAGTGAGCAGACCAGCAGGGGGGCAGTTGGGGGCGAGCAGGCCAGTGGGAAGGGAAGGTGGGGGTGAGCAGTCCAGCAGGGGGGACAGTTGGGGGCAAACAGGCCAGGGAGGGGGGGCGAACACACTGGCACAGGTGGCAGTTGGGGGTGATCAGGCTGGTGGGGGGGCATTTGGGGGCAAGTAGGCCGGCAGTGGGGGGCAGTTGGGGGCGAGCAGGCCGGCAGGCAGAGTGGTTAGAAGCAATCAGGCAGGCAGACAGGCAGGTGAGTGGTTTAGAGCCAGCAGTCCTGGATTGTGAGAGGGATGTCCGACTGCCAGTTTAGGCCCGATCCCTGTAAACCGTCAGTAGGACATCCTTCGAGGGGTCCCAGATTGGAGAGGGTGCAGGCCGGGCTTAGGGACCCCTCGTGCACGAATTTTGTGCACTGGGCCACTAGTGTGTGTGTGTGTGTGTGTGTGTTTGTTTGTATAAAATTGCTATATATCAACAACTTTTATAATAATTTTACTTCTGGGCATATAGCCTAAGGAAATAATGGAAAGTAGATAATTCTTTCCTCAATAGCTATTACTTTGAATAGAAAAAATTTACAATTTTATTTCATAAGATCTGTGCAAAGTATAGATTTAAGAATTAATAAATCAACTACTGATTAATAATAGTTTTTTTTTCTCCTTTGAAAATAGAAATCCAAAGGGAGAAAATTACTATTTTTCTTAAGTATCTTATTTGCATGCCTGATATTAAATGAATGCATTACCATACTAAAAACGTATGGAGACACAGACATTCTGTAACTTAGGAGCAGAACTTAAGGAATATCCCATACCCTACTAATGGATGTCAAGGTGGAGTGTGTGCTCCTGAAAATGAAAAATCAGAATACATTGTACTATTTCAGCTGCAAGAGCTGAACAGACTTCTGTAGCTGGACATTTAAATATTATATTTTTTTAAGTTTCTTTTCTTTTTTAATTAATTAAATCTTCATTGTTCAGATTATTACATTTGTTCCTCTTTTTTCCCCCCCATAACTCCTCTCCTCCCAGTTCCCGCCCCACCCTCCGCCCTCACTCCCCACCCACTGTCCTCATCCATAGGTGCACGATTTTTGTCCAGTCTCTTCCTGCATCTCCCACACCCCTTTCCCCCCGAAGAATAGTCAGTCCATTCCCTTTCTATGCCCCTGATTCTATTATAATCACCAGTTCATTCTGTTCATGAGATTATTTATTCACTTGATTCTTAGATTCACTTGTTGATAGATGCATATTTGTTGTTCATAATTTGTATCTTTACCTTTTTCTTCCTCTTCCTCTTCTTAAAGGATACCTTTCAGCATTTCATATAATACTGGTTTGGTGGTGGTGGTTAGCTTTTCCTTATCTGTGAAGCTCTTTATCTGACCTTCAATTCTGAATGATAGCTTTGCTGGATAAAGTAATCTTGGTTGTAGGTTCTTGGCATTCATCACTTTG